GCCTCCCTTACTCTTCCCTTCTAAACCCTGGTCCTCTATCTTTGTTTCCTACTTCAGGAGTCACACCAACCAAATCCTACCTGGCACTTAGGGCACAGACCTGGACGTCATCCTAGACAATGACTTCTTCCTCCCCTCCAAACCCCATCAGGATCCAACCTCTGGCAACTGCTGGAGATTTTGGCTTTCAACACCTGTTCACATCTCTCCATGGCCATCATTACAATGTCTTTCACTCAGGCCCTTCCTGCCATAGGGCCTTTGCACATGCTGGTACCTCAGCCCAAGTCAGCTCTCCTGTACCTCCTTCACCTGATTGACACTCACTGAGTCCAGGGAAGGCTTTCCTCACTAGATCAACACTTCCCAGGAACTGCTTGCCCTCAAAGCAATTTCCCTTTTGATACTTATCACAATAATAATTCTGGGGTACTTTAAATAATTTCTTTTTTCCTACTAGACTGTTAATGTTTCCTGAGATAAGTATTACATATTTTTTTCAGTATTCTAAAACCACTGCTTAGAACACTAAATAAATGTAGGGCGAAGCATGCATCCACGTTCAGACTTCAGTTGCAGGACATCCTCTGTAACTTAGTAGTTTCCCTAAAAAACACAGGGTCTGTGATAGCACCCTATAATAGAGCTACCGCAGCAAGCTCAATTTGCCTAAAAGGCTTTATGCTATTCCCAAATGTTTCCTGGGAGTAGCCTTCTCCCTTTCCAGTCCTTTGAAAGAGACACAGCTCCACCCTTTTCTTTCTAGTTGAGAGAAAACTTACAGGAGTCTAGGTTCAAGTTGAGGTCAATGGTTTTAAGAATAAGAAACAAACTTTTCACTCAGATATTATGTAATTTCATAACATTTAAACTACTTATAACATTAGAATGCAATTTTTGTTGTTGGTTCCATTTTATCTCTATTACTATTTTCTAGAATAGATAAATGTATAAAAAGCTTGTATGACCTTTTTTTTTCTTTTTCTTGTTTATTATTCCTTATTTCCAAAACTCTTTATTGACATTAATTCTCCCAGGCTTCAAATATAAGGTGCTTGACCCTAAGTTTCATTTATTAAGAATTCTTACAATTTTGCACTTTGTTTGGAACCTGTAAAGTTGAATGTTTGCACACAATTAAAAATTAATACATGACATTAAAAACAGGCAACAAAAGAAAAACAGATAAAATGGGATTCATTAAAATGAAAAACTTCAATTTTAAAAGTGCATTAAAAATATTATATCAAGAAAGTGAAAAGACAATCTACAGAATGAGAAAAATTTACAAATCATGTATCTGATAAGGGTTTAATATGCAGAATATGTAAAGAGCTCCTACAACTCAAGAATGAAAGGCAAGCAACCTGATTAAAAATGGGCAAAGGACTTGAATGATATTTCTCTAAAGAAGGCATACAGTGGCTAATAAGCACATGAAAGATTCCCAACATTAGAAAAATGCAAATCAAAACCACAAAGAGATGCCACTTCATACCTACTGAGAGACATGTCAGACAGATAAAGCAAATACACTAAGGTATCACTTATTTGTGGAACCTAAAAAGCCAAACTTGAAAAAATAGAGTAGAATGGTGGTCTGGTCAGGAGCTAGGGGTAGGGGAAGAAAGATGCCATTTAAATACACAAACTTTCAACTAGTAAACTAAGTTCTAGAGATCTGATACACAGTATAGTGAATACAGACAATGGTATTATAACCATTAAACTTACTAAGAAACGAGATTTAATTTGTTCCCACTACAAATAAGGAAATGATCATTATGTGACATGAGAATGGTGCTAGAGCCACAATGGCAATCATATTACAACTACAGGTCTGGTGCACAAATTTGTCACCAGTGAGGTCCCTTAGCCTGACCTGCGAAATTGGACTGAAACCAGCACTCTGACATCCTTTGAGGGGTCCCAGATTGTGAGAGGGCACAGGCCAGGCCAATGGACTCCACTAGCGCACAATAAGGGCCGTGGAGGGACACAGGAGGTTATCCAGCCACGGAGGGACTGCCAGAGGGCTCCAGGGCATATCTGGCCTGTTTGGCTCAGTATTGATCAGCTAGACCCCTGCATCAAGTTAACCTATGGTCAGAGCATCAGCCCCCCTGGTGGTCAGTGCACATCATAGCAACTGGTTGACTGGTTGACTGCCCCTGGTGATCAATGCATATCATAGCGAACGGTTGATTGGCCTTAGTGTATCATTAGCATATTACACTTGGATTGGTTGAACGGCCGACTGGTTGACTGGACACTTAGCACATTAGGCTTTTATTATATAGGATATGTAAGTGTATCAAATCAACATGCTATAAACTTTAAATCTACATGATGTTATATATGGAGTATATTTCAAACTTTCCCCAACACTTCTCACCTACTAATATACCTATTTAAAAACAAAACAAAACAGAAAATAGTGCTGGCAGGGATGTGGTGAATTTGGAACTCTTGTTACTCTCGTTACATTGCCAGGAATGGGCAAAGGTGCAACTGCTGTGCAAAAACAGTTGTGTGGTTCCTTGAAAGTTAAAGAATTGCCATACGACCCAGCAGTTCCACTCATGGGTACATACCCAGAAGAAATGACAGCAGAGATTCAAATACATCCTTATATACTGACGCGGATAGCAGTGATATCCACAGTAGTCAGAGGGGAAAACAACCAAAATGCTCATCAACAGATGAAAGGATAAACAAAATGTGGGCCAGTCTCTCTATCTGGTGAAAATAAATAAGGTCTTATATTCTAGGGGGTGACAGCAAAGACTGAATTAGTGAGCACTAACCTGCTCCTCCTACAGGAACGTGAGGCTCTCAAGAGCCACCAGCTCTAACATTTTCATCAACTGACCTATATCTTCTCCCGTTTTATGCGTATTTCTGTTAGAGACACCTTGGTAACACATACTGATGTTTCAATAACTTGAACTCACCAACAGCACTAACTCAGGCTTGACAGAAGCTTATCTAGCGCCTGCATTTTCCCCTAAGGCGCATCACAGCCTCAGGAACTCTCAACTTCAGCACAAGCTTGGGAGTCACCTTCAACAGGGAAATCACCCACAAAAAACCCAGCAATGCAAACCTATGGCTCTAAGTAGAAGGTGCAAAGGACACTTGTTTACAACGTGAGGGCCGACACGGTGGCAGTCTCAACTGAAATGCACAGTCTGGCCGCTGGAATGCAGTGCCTCTGTGCAGGCCTGCACACAGCCCAGAGAGTGCTACAAGGGCTGACTTTGGGTTACAAATAAATGTAGACAGAGGCCAATTCCTAAGTGCAAAACCTGTAATCAATGAGGACCCACTGTAGATACATACAATGGAATAATATTCAGCCATTAAATGAAATCCTGATACAGACTCCAATAAGGGTGAATGCTGAAGACATACTAAGTGGAATAAGCCAGAAGCAAAAGGACACACATGGTCTGACCCCACTTACACGCAATGTCTAGGTCAGGCAAATTCACGGAATAGCGGTTGTCAGGGTGTTGGGGTGGAGGAGAGTCTGTTGTCAGGGTTTTGGGGTAAGGGGTGAATGTGGAGTTACTGCTCCATGGAATCAGAGCTTCTGTTAAGGACGATGCAAAAGGACTGGAGACGGACAGTGGGGAGGGTAGTACAGCAACGTGATTGCAATCAGCACCCCTGTGCTGTACACTTAAAATGATTAAAATGGAAAATTCTGTTACATATATATTTTATGACAAAAATGCATGTGTTAAATGAAATTAAATGGGTCACTTTAATCTCCCGTTAAGATTAAATGGAGACACGCTGGACAACACCAACAGCCTCTTGCCCTCACTTCTTTTTAAAGAACGTACCCTCCTTACTATGTTTTTCTCTTGGTTTATAAGCCATATTTTAAAACAGGCTCATTATTTAGTAATATCAACTAATTGCTGAGGACAAGTAAATTAAAACGTGCACGTCAGTTGTTTGGCCGCACTTCATGCTTTTGGTGAAAATTTATGCAGTAACAGAATTACTCTTTGTAATTGCCAAGAGAAGGGTCACCTTGAGAACCAACAACGGACGCTCCTGATTTATCTTGGAATACAGTTGCCGGCAGGTCACCCCGTTTGGCTGAAGCAGTCCTCCCAGGTAAATTAGCGCCGGCACTATTTCAGTATCTTGGCACTCTGTGTCCACTTTTAATCTCTTCCATTGCTTTTGTTTCTTTGATCATCAATCTATTTCTCATCTGCTCCCTTCCCCACTGAACACCCCTATTTTCATATCTCCGGGGAGAGCCATCTGTTGGAATATGGCTGTGGTTCACTTCATCATTCAAACGCTCCAGTTTATTTTCTGTATCTCCTGACCCAACAAATACAAAGTGGCGCTGCTGGACAGACACAGAGGAAGTGTGCTCATGCGGAATACAAACAGCATTAACATGTAAACTTAACACGTAGGAAGGGATTCATGGCCAAAGGAAAACCAACCTCGATTCTTTCAATCTTGGAAAACGCATCACAAAACTATTTGGCTTCTCTTAGGACTGTGGAGATGAATAAATGTAATTGCCATGAAGACATACCGAGCAGCCGTACAGCTGTCACAAAAGAACCACCGCGTGAATGTGCACTGAGGTAGGTGCTTCTACAGTCACACTTCCTAGAAATTACACAGCCTGAGTGTAGATCCCAAAAGCGGCCGTTTTCTATTAATTGTGGCTTTGTACCAGTCAAGCTTTTGGAGCCAACTGGATCATCTTCCTTTTGGGACCATTCCCACATCCTATTATGTGAAATTTATATATACTGATTCATACATATGCAGGCGTGTGTGTGATGGTTTGGTGAAGAGTAATTTTTAAATTCTCAAATGATAGGCTTTTTTTTTACTCTTAAAAATGCAAGAAGCAGTAGATTTCTTCACAAACATATACCTGTTTAGAAATCATAAAAACATAAAAAAAAAAATAACACAGCAGTCCGCTTTATGAAGGCTAATGAACAGGTACTCACTCATTAAAGACCAGGTCAGGTGCAAAATAGAGGAATTGGCTGTTTGTGTGTTTGTACGACCTCCAGCTCAAGGCGAACGACGACAGACACATCCAGGAATACTGGATGAGGGTGATTTGGTCCTCGAGAGGCAGGTTTTTAAATCCTGAAGAACAGAACAATTAGACACAGAGAAACACTTAGCATCTGAGTACACTCTAGGAGGAAGTTCCTTAAGTTAACCTCCCGACAGCCACCGTCCTCTAAGGCCCCCGATCGATGTCACAGCCACGTACAGAGCACCCGCCCTGGGCCTGGCCCTGCTGAAGGCCTCATTTCAATTCACTCTTCATTCTCAGTGAGGGCGGACAGCCTGGGCCACTAACACTGGGGGATTCAGGGCGTTTCACTGGATGACGGTCTAAAACCCTTAGTTAGATGGGAAGAATCTGTATTAACCTGTGAAGCATCTTTATCGCACTCCCAGAGATAATGTTAACAGATTGGATAATCTAATAACCATCAGCTACTGCGTTATCTGCAATTACGTAGCTTTTGCTCTTCAAGAGTTCGTGGTGATTGAACAAGCATTATTCCTTGCTTCCCACAGTCTGGGATAACACTGGACTAAGCACTCTTGGCACCTGCCCCCCCATCCGACAGGCCTCCTATTTGGGTCTCAAGCCCTTCTTTTGTTCCTTTCCCCAGGCCCTGCATTCCCAGTGACATTAGGCTCCTCTTAAAAAAAAAACCATCGCTGAGCTTTCCCCAGACTGCATTCCTATGGCTGCTGGTTGGCCAGAGGTCCTTTAAGAAACTGCTTTGGGTAAATGTAGTGGGATATTATGATAGCAATTCTAAGTAATGTTTATGTAGATTAATGGGGACCTTATTAATAAAATCCTATAGCATAAAAAAATGACTAAAGTAAGAATTTCAAGGACGCTTTATATTTTTTTGAAAGAACAGATTTTTCAGGGGCTCCTACAATTTAACAGACAGGTCTTGCTGTACTGGGTTTCTGGTTAGGTCAGCCTTGGTTACAAGATGCTAGCAACAGGCCATTAGACTTTCACGATAATCTCTATGGGATGGCATTGCCATCGCAACCATCCACAGGAAACGTGTGACATATTAACAATGGAACCTTTAACGCTAACTGCTCAGGAGAAGAGAGCAGAATTCCGAGAGGCACCTGTTCGACTGATCATTTTAAAGTCCGCTCCCAGGATTTAAGAGGAAGCCATCTCTGATCACCGTGCGGGATGTGGGGAAGGAGGCTGCCCTGACCTGTCCCGTGCAGGACACAGACCGTGGAAGGAGAGAGGCAAGCCTACCTGGAATTACCTTTGCCCACTTCACGACTTGGATCATCTGCTTGCCCGCCAGGCGGTTCAGCGTGGAGAGCAGGCTCTCGGCGGTGTCCGGCTTGGAGCCGTCATAGCCTGCGTACACAATTTCGGGCTCGATGTTCTCTAGGACCATCCCGGGAGAGGGGGTGAGCGCGCGGGAGATGGTGGAGAGCTGAGGGACCAGCGCGGTGTTGACGGAGGGCTCTTTGGCAGGGGCGATGTAGGTCGTCCCTTCCTCGGGGCTCTGGGGCGGCGGGGGTGGTGGCGGGGGCGGCTGCTGCTGTGACTGCTCCTCGTGAATCCCTTTTAACTTCCCCAGCTTCTTTGACTTGCGGGCTGTACAGAAATCATAAGTGATGAGAGCAGATTAAAATTACGATAGGGATATATAATACACCGTAGGAGGTGAATTATAATCAAACATTGACCTATATAGAGTGGGGAAAAAGAAAGTTTGCAATTATTCCTGTGGAAGATAAAATGATAATAAGAATAAACTCTGCTTTGTGTACTGGTAACTGTAACCCACATTTGCCCCACTCTTTATTAGTTAAAACATGCCTTTCCTCTAAAGACGACTTACGATTCTAATGGAAAGAGTATCTTTTTAAATATTTTTGGGATACCATGTCCTAATGCTTTATATAAATAAAACAGTTTAATGACTTTTTGAGTAGGTACTATTCTTAGTCTCTTTTATAACGAAGAAACTGAGACCAAAAAGGGTTATGAGATTTGCCTAAGGCCACACAGCAAATATAAGTAAAGCAGAGACACAAATTCAGAGGAAAGGGAAGTCATTTCATAGGTTAATAAATGGCATATGCCTCAACTAAGCCTTCCGTCTGTCAGTGATCCTCACTTACTATCCACTGACGAGTTGCCAGCAAGCACTAGGGTGGCCTGGCTGAGCTTGTGATTCTCGTGCTGTCCCTGCTCCCTGGGATTAGGAGTTGCTTTGGTGCTGCATCCTCTCTCTGTGGTGGTCGCTGCACAATCACCTGCTTATGCAGAGCAGTTATGTTGTGCAAATGCTGCTGGACCTGCATTCCCAGCCCTATTGTGAACACAGAAGCACAAATGCTGGATGCTCCTCCTCTGTTATGGCCCCCCTTGGCATCCTGGGAAATGCCATACCTAATGCAAGTGATTTATATATTTCCACAGGATGAATGGGTGAGCAATCAACCCCAAGCCAATGAAACAAAGGGGAAGACATTAAATATCTGGATAATTCAAACTGGACAGCTAACTAGCAATGCACAGGAACCGATGCCACACAAAAAATCAGGTGCAAGTTACAGCCATACACACAAAATGCAATCTTTAAAAGGCTGTTCCAACTCTTTGTTTTTAATATAAGTAAGGAATTCACATGACTTACAGGCAAAAAGGAAAACATACCACAATCCTATATAGGAATCCTAGTTTAGATGTTTAGGACAAGTGACCATATTTCATGCTCTGATGTACCCAGAAGAGCCCTGGTTTATGCAGTTTCCCCAGGATGATTAATTATCGATAGAGCCCTGCTTACTCCTAAAAGTGCCAGATTTTGGGCAATCGATCAATACTGTGCTCATCTTCATTAAACCAAAGAAATAGTGCTGACTCTAATAGCAACTGTCTTTCTTCCCCACTCCTTTCAAAGTTATTATTGTTAAAATAAATAACAGAATGAAGGCATGAGAAGGTGGAAAGGTATATTGGCAGGCAGATGGGAGAGTTTGGGTGGATGGCAGGTGGGTGGGGTGAGAAGATAGGAAAGATTAATGAATAGAGAAAGCCCAGAACTTAGAGATGTGGTAATAATTCAATTTCCAATTGGAAGGTTTTCCATTTTTAAAAATAATTTGTTTTAAAATTCTTGAAGACCCAGACAAGTTCTTTTTTTTTCTTTTTAAAATATATTTTATTGATTTTTTACAGAGAGGAAGGGAAAGAGATAGAGAGCTAGAAACATCGATGAGAGAGAAACATCGACCAGCTGCCTCTTGCACACTCCCTACTGGAGATGTGTCCGCAACCTAGGTACATGCCCTTGACCGGAATCGAACCTGGGACCTTTTCAGTCCACAGACCGACGCTCTACCACTGAGCCAAACCGGTTTCGGCTAGACAAGTTCTTCTTAGTTTAACATATGTGAGGAATTTACAGTATATAAATGTAACACAGTACTATGCTATACCAATGAACTTGATTTTAATAGTAACCATTCATGTTTACAATTATAGCCATTAACATTTACCACATTCGCCACAGAAACACTTACCAATTCAGATAAAAAAAAGCATTGGCCAACACATTCATTAAAATTATGGAAGGGGCTTAAAAGATGAACAAGCTACATTTCCTGTTTTTAAGGTGTTTAAAATCAGCAAAGTAACTTTAAAATTCCAATAACTTCAAATCATTTTATTTCTTATAGATAAAAAGTTGAGGCAGAAAAATCTGATTTTTTTTTTTTAATGAAAAGCAGATGTGTCATTCTCATGCATACTAATGAGAGCTGCGACTAATGAGAGTATTGTCCCATAGCACTGAGCATACAGTAGGTAACTAAGGTACGTCTTAAGAATGAATAGAAGAAAAAATAGCAGCTAAATGCCACCCCCCCCCAAAAAAAAAGGCAAAACAAAGGAGAAGAAAATAACCAAATATGTAGATAATCCAAAATGCTGGCCAACTGATGACTCTGGAAGAACTTGGAAAAATCCTTAAAAGCATATCCTGGTCATTGGGAATCATATACCTGGAACTGCCCCGTGTCACATAAACCTGCCGTAAGCATGAACTGATTCTCATAAGAGGAACGGGGACAGCAGGGGTTCCCACTCCTGTCTCACAGCGAGCTAAATGGATGAGAAAAATAAGAACCTGCTGAACTCATTACTAACATCTGAAATACTATTTCAATGTTACTTCCATTCTTTCCCATAATTTTGCAATTAAAAATGTCCCCATTGATGAAAATGTCCTCACCTCATATAAAACTACATCTGATAATAACCACAATTTGATTGTCTAGAAATAGCCCTGGGTGATAGTCTCAAATTTTAGTAAGAGTGATATTTGCTTGCAAAGTAATGATAAAATTCACATTTGTTTAAGGCCTTAGGTCTATAATGCTGTGTTTATTCTCATGGCCTATTAAGGTCAGTGCAATGAAATACCACGAAGACAGACCCTTAACATTTCCTCTAATATTATAAACTGTGGCCTGGAGCATAACCTACTGAGCAGATTATCAACATTCTCTTTAGCATGTCAGTCATATTTAGTTTCATGCTGTGGTTTTATGAATATATATGGGGAACTTGGAATTGAATGATAATATGTATTAATTTAAATACTTCAAGGCAATACATACTCTCAGTGTGCAGACTCTTCATCTAGTGTCTTTTCTCAGAGCATGGAGGTAAGGTTACATATTAATTATACTTATATTGCTCCAGGCAGCCTTCCTAGAATGCTTGACAGTCCTACACTGTTTTTCTAACCCCTGCTGTATTCTAGAATTAAAGCTCCTGGGAGTTGATAAGGCCTTATGTATCCCTACAACATTCTCCATGATGCTTATGGGAACTCAATAAATGTTTGACAAAATTTATTCCATTTTCAAATTTTAATAAACTGTTACATAGATTAAGTATTTGTTTACCTCCATTTAGAAAACATAGGCAAGTTTCTGAGATTTTGAGATTCAATTTCTGATTTGTTATTCTTCCTTTTCTAAGTGTCTACTGGACAATGATCCATTTGTGGAGCTGTTACTCATAAAATGCCATCACTAAAATAACATTAAACGAAGTGTGCTGGGCATGTAGGGGCTCAGCACAGTTCAAAACTGTGATTTAGTATATTATTTCCATTTCACAGGTAAGAAAACTGAAGCAGAGAGAGGTCAGTCCTCCAAGGCAACAACCTGGGCTCAGAGCCTACAGCCTTAACTTCTATGCCATGCTCTCCTTTAATCCTTTCTCTTTACTTACTTTGTATTTATTTACACTGTAAGGTTAGCAGGGGCTTTAAACCCAACTGTATAATTAAGAAGTTTGCTAATTATACAGGAAAATCTTGGGCCAAAGGGACTCAACGAGCAGGTTTCCATTACCCTCAGCAGGAGTGAACGCAGGTTTTGGGCCATATCCCTCCTATCTGCCACCTTCCTTAAATGGGGAGGCACTCACGCGCCCAGATGGCCAGAGCCACACTTCATTTCTCCACTGCCAGCCTCAGCTGCACGAAGGTGCGTGTATGGTGTGCATTAATATCACTAAATGTCTCCCAGTCCCACTTAGGCCTGGAAGAGTCGGACTTTTCCTGCCTGGACGCTATAGTCACTAGTACACGAGTAGTGGCTGCCCTCTGGGGCCAAATCCTTAATTACTGGCAGCATCCTGACAGCCAGTTTCTCCTGGCCTTGCTGGGTGGCAGAACTGCACTGACTTCTCATGACTTGTTCGTCCGGAGCTGTAGGGTGGGCAGGCCCTACTTCCTATCCTGCCGACATGCGGAACACCCAGCTTCGCGCATCTGGTGGGACCCTACAAACATTGTGGCAAGCTCGCAGTGGGGATCTCTAGATGCACAAAGGCCATGAACGTGGCATGACAACCCTGTCCTTTCCCTTTGCTCCACCTCCTGAGACTCATATGACCCAGTACACACCTGTCTGGCAAATGACGTGTGATAGGAAGGCTGCTGACTAGAAACTACACCATTTTTGCTTCCCCAGGAAATTGACAAGACCAACAAGGTTCTTGTGTTCCATCATGACTTTCTCAAGTGCATGCAACTAAAGATCCTTTAGATTCAGCAGCAGGGAATCAACCCGGATTTTTTTTTTTTCCTTCTGGAGTAGAATAAAACACTGATATGGAATGTTTTCAATCACAACGTTTCACCGGAAAAAAAGTTAAAGTGAGAAAGAACTCTGTCATTTTAGACATACTTCCTGCCATGCTTGGCATTTTAGGTCTTGGCAGTAATTATAATGAAGAAGATATATGGATGTTATATGAAAACACGCATTTTTCTGTTTATGGGCCAAATGTAATCACTGGCTTAAAGCCACAGGCCAATATCTGCATCCACCCCCTTCTTCTATCTTCCACAGCCTCTCACCCAGATCCTGAGTTCCTATTTTCCATGTCTTCTCTCTTTACTTGAGGACTTCTCTTCACCTTTCTACTGCCAGAGGCAAAACACTCTGCAAGTTCAGGGACAACCGAGTATTTTTGTCATGAAACCAAAGGAAGGAATGTCACTTTTCTACAAATGTACGTGGCTTTGCAGCAAAACTTCTCTCATTTGTACTAATAGCAAAGGGCAT